AAATCCACAATTTTAATTTGAGATTTCATTCTTCCTCTCTCAATGATCAACAGAACAAGTAGAGAAAATTCAGTAAGGACATAATAGACTTGAACAATATTATTACCCAACTTGACCTAATTAGCTTCTATAGAACATTCCACCCAACAGCAACAGACTCACATTCTTTTCAAGCACACATGAACCATTCATCTAGACAGACCACATTTGGGCCAAAATCAAGCTGAACAAATTTCAAAGGAATGAAATGACAGAATCTATTCTTCAACCACAGGGGAACCAAATTAGAAATCAATAATAAAATAATATCTGGAAATGTCCCAAATAGTTGGAAATTGAACAATATACTTCTAAATAACCAGGAGTATTTGGGGAATTGGTAGAAATAGGAAAAAAAAATTGAGATCTTGGTGTGAGTAGCAAAAAAGGAAAAAAAAATCTGAGAAAATAATCTCATTCATATTTGTTATTTAAAATTAGAAGACAGAGGCCTGTAGTGGTTTGGGGTGACATATTCAAGATTTGACAGTGAGACTGCTCTCCCCAGGCACAGGGCTTATTACAGACTGACTTGACTCTGGTTGTTTGACTAGATCTTGTCTTCCCTACCAGACTGTGTGTTCCCTGAAAACATGGCTGATTCCTGCAGCCCTGCACTGCTCAAAACATAAATATGCATTCTGTGGATGGTAAATAAGTAGTATATGGATAATGGCAGAGCAAGGACCTGAATGTTACTATTGAAGGCCCAGGGTAACGTATATTCTTTACACATACAGACTGGTAGAGAGCAAAAATTACTGGCTGTGGAGTCAGACAGGCCTGATTCATATACAACTGTGTTATCTCTTAGTTGTGTTCTGCTCAAGTTACTTAATTTCCCAAGTTCCTTGCCTATGAAATGGAAAAACAACAACAGAGCTGAGGTCAGGAGCTGATTGCTGAGTGGAGAGTTGTCACTGCTTTTGGCTGCCAAAGATCTAGCCTCTCTTCCATTTGGATGTTTTGGAATTCTCCATCTGATGCATCAGAGCCCTCCTCTTATCATAGGACTGGAAAACCAGACTGCCTGCAACATGTGCATGGGCATGTGACTGAAAATCCCCAGTCAGGTGTACCTATTCTGGATTTCAAATCAGAGGCCAGTGATATGGACCAGTGGGAGTCACATAGAATTTGGCAGCTGAAGTTTCCAGGGGCAGCAGGGCCAGCTGTTCTAGAGCTGTACTGACCAATTCAACTTTCTGTGATGATGAATGTTCCACAGTGTGACATAGCTAATGTGCAGAAATCCCTCAGAGCTGTGCTGGCCAATAGGGTAGCCACTACCACATAAGGCTAGGGAGCACTTGAAATGCGGCTAGTGCCGCCGAGGAACTGAAATTTCAATTGTATTTGATTGTAATTAATTCAAATTTAAGTAACCACACTTATCTAGTGGCTCCCTTATTAGGTAGCTCAGATCTCCAGGCAACATTCAGGGCCCAGTGTTGGTGGTTTTGGCTGTGTAAGCTGCAGGTCCAGGTTCAGAGGTGGCAGCACAGGTGTTCTAATCCATTTTGCAATAGATTGGGGACATTATTCCTGGCTGGGTAGCTGCCAAGCCCAGTTCCCTGGTCCTCCATTATGCTTTATTAACTTTCTTTTCTGCCTAAACTCCCAGGTGGGTTCGTGATTATTGTCACCAAGAATCCTAAGTGATACAAATAAGAATGTGCAGAAGTGATTAGCACAGCTCAGGAGGTGCTGAATACGTCATCTGCATCCCTTCCCTGGGAGTCAGTGTATGCCAATGCTAATTATAGGATGTGTACTGTGCTGTCCGTCAAGATTCAGTAACAGTGTCATCTAATCCAAGGTCAATGAAGGTATTGAGGCCTCCAGGTCAACTCCGCCCACCTCCTATAGTGTGCTGTTTAGGTTAGGGTAGCACTCAGGGTACACAATATATCCACAGACAAGGGCTCAAAGAAATAGTGCACTCCTAGGCTGCGTGTAGTGGCTCACACCTGTAATCCCAGCACTTTGGGAGGCCAACGTGGGTGGATCACGAGGTCAGGAGTTTGAGACCAGCCTGGCCGATATGGTGAAACCCTGTCACTACTAAAAATACAAAAATTAGCCGGGCATGGTGGTGCGTGCCTGTAGTCCCAGGTACTCAGGAGGCTGAGGCAGGAGAATTGCTTGAACCCGGGAGGCAGAGGTTGCAGGTTGCAGTGAGCCAAGATTGTGCCACTGCACTCTTGACTGGGTGACAAAGTAAGACTCCGTCTCCGA